CGCCAATCCATGCATCGGATCAAGAAGCAGCTGCTAAAAAACCCAAACATGCACAAGCTATATTTGAAGCTGCTGTGCCTCTAGTCCCACGGACATCACGTGTAGAGGTCCTCCCAGAGTCTTGCAACTGTGCATAAAACTTCTATTTGGGGCCACCACTAACCAATGCTCACAAGCAGAAACGGCTGCATGGCAAGAAAAATACATGAAGACTATTTTCAAACAGACTGTACACTGATGAGTGCCGTGCAAACCCCTGGATGTCCAAGGATGAGTAGTGAGGGGTCCCCCACCAGGCCCGACCCCTGGTCCAACAAGGCCGGGACGGCCCCAGGCGGTTGGATCATTTTTGGCATGCATCCATGGAAACGGAGCTGTCATGCCCCGTTAGGGTCCCCGAAGGTGGGAAAGGATGACCTCTGCAAGTAGTGGAGTGTAGGACTGGACCACTTTCTTCCCTGGTACAGAAGGTAGAAACTATGCTGTCCGGTAATAAAATCATCTTCAGCATGACAATTCACCATCTCATGCTGCAAAGAATACCTCGCATCAATGGCTGCTATGGATAAAAGGAAGAATGTTCATGGTGTGGCCGCATCCTCCCCCTGACCTCATCCTATTGAAACCTTTGGAGCAACCTCAAGCACAGATCTATGTGGGTGGGAGCAGGTTTACATCCAACAGCACTCTGTGAGGCTATTCTACCATCCTTGTAAAAATTCCAAGCAGAAAACTGTCCAAAAACTCCACAAGGTTCAATGGATGCAAGACTGTGGAAGCTGCTATCAAATATGGGGTCCCAATGTTAAAATGTAACGTGACCTGTTAAAATGTTTAAAAATTAAAATGTTGTTAAAGTTTGATTGAAATAGCTTTTGATTTCAGTAAATATGCTGCAAACACAACAAAAATGACAATTTTCAGTGTTCTTTACAACCTATAAAGTGTTTTGAATCTTACTTTATGTTTAACAAAAATCCTGTTATCATTAGAGGTTTGTTCAATAAAATGTGTAATGCACTCTTAATAGTTGATAACATGAGAATTATGCTGACTGTTATCTTACATCAATTATTTAGGTAAATGAGAAAAAATATCATTTTGCATAATAATTTGGAAACAGGGTGTAGTACTGTAATACTTAGTACTGATATCCTCTGGATTCAGCACCATCAGGACAGAAATGTAATGTACCCTAATGTAATATAAATGATCAGGGTGCAACATTGTGTTAGTTTCTTGAGGCATCTGCTACTGAGTGTGAATTTAAAGTGTTTTACTAAACCCACGACAGTAAAATCAACCTGTATAATGAAGTAAAGCATGCTTGTTATACTCAATGTGGAACATAAAGGGTTAATCCTCTGCATTGTGTAAAAAGGAATGTTTGATCCTGTCTTCTCTGATGCTAACCTTCTTATACTGTCCCCCCATCCATCTCCTGATAGAAGCAGAGTGCCCTTGGTGGTAAGCTGCACATGTTCAGTTTAATGTGTATTGCTAGATAGTTTTTTCTGATTATTAGGAGGGTGCATTTGATCAGCCAGGGCCAATCAGCACTGTCCAGACAGACTGGCTCGTATACAGTGAGAGGAGAATTAAATCTCCTACAAGCTTTAACTGGTGCTCTGCTGGACACTAATGGAAGTCACAAACAGCTCTAGCTGCTGATGAGAAAAGATATTTAGCATTTTTAAATATTTATTAAAATAATTGCATTTCCATTCACTGTGTACTGTGGGAAACCAGATATAGTGAATGCAGGGTCTTGGTTTTAGTAAACACTTAACTCTAAATTCCAACACATGTACCAGCATACAGATACACCCTTTTGCACAAGTCCTTGCAATTGCCTGCTTAGGCAATACCTTTAAGCTAACATGGGGGGGGGGGTGGGGGTACAGAACAGTTCTAACCTCACAAACAATGACATATTCTGAGTATGTACAGTAATATATTTTATTATTTTACAATGTTGCTTAATTTAAATACAGCACCGCCAGCTCATTCTGATCCAATTCTACATAAATAAGGATCAGTGGCCAAACAGTTTTTATAGTAAAGTTTTACTGCATTGTTTTAAAAGTTGAATAAAAAATCAAAACAAAAGCCGCACAATCTACATTCCGGAGACATAAGGCAGTTTTATCCTGAAAAAAATTCATACATTTTAAACATTTGAGTCTATTATGTTAAAGAAAACAGCCAGCTTGTCTGTAAGCAACTTTAGTAGGCCACAATTTCACAGGGAGAGATATGGCAGTATTTTTCACAAACAATAGCCAGAGTATATTACAGTTTGTACACTGCATGTATTGAGCTGTAATAAGGTGCAGTTTCAGAGGGAGAAAAAAAGGCTGTTATTATCATGAATAAGGATCAGAATGTATTATTTAACCACAAGCCTATAGGGCACTTATATACCCCCTTCCTGCCCAGGCCAATTTCAAGCTTTCAAGCGCTGTTGCACTTTGAATGACAATTGCGTGGTCATGCACACACTGTACCCATATGAATTTTTATCTTTTTTTTTGTGACAGATAGAGCTTTATTTGGTGGTATTTAATCATCTCTGGGTTTTTTTTTCTTAAACAAACCAAAAACCACTGAAAATTTTGAAAAAAAAGATTTTTCTTAGTTTTTGTTATACAATTTTTGTAAATAAGTGATTTATCTCCTTCACTGATGTGTGCTAATGAGGCTGCAGTGATGGGCACTGATAGGCTTCACTGATGGACACTGATAGGTGGCGCTGGTAGGTGGCACTGATGGGCATTGACAGGCATCGCTGATGGGTACTGAAAGGCAGCACTAAATATATGGCACTGATAGGCATCACTGACTGACACTGATAGGCGGCACTGACTGGCACTGTTAGGTGACACTGACTGGCACTATTAGGCGACACTGATCAGTGATGCGCACTGATAGGCGGCACTGACTGGCACGGATAGGCGGCACTGACTGGCACTGATAGGTGGCACTGATTGGCACTGATAGGCGGCACTGATTGGAAGCAATGATAGGTGGCACTGATTGGGACTGATAGGTGGCACTGACTGGACTGATGGGTGACAATGAAAGGCAGCTCAGATGGGCACTGATATGTGGCATTGATGTGCACTGGTAGGCACTGATATGTGGCACTGATGGGCACTGACAGTTGGCACTGATGGACACTGACAGGTGGCACTGCTAGGGCTACACTGATCATCAGGGCACACTGATCATCAGTGCTCTGGTGATCAGTGTACATATCCCCCTCCGCGGAATGCGATTACCGGCTCTCCTCTCGAGCTGTCAGCATGACAGTGAGAGGAGAGAAATGCCGATAACCAGCATTTCCCTGTTTACATGTGATCAGCTGTGATTGGACACAGCTGATCACATGACCGAGCCAACATCTTCGGCTCTTTCCATGGATCAGTGATCCCCGCTGTGTCCGAGGGACACAGCACACCGCCGATCACCGCGCTGTGCACTCTGGGAGCAGCGCATGCGCCGGATAGAATGGGAGGACATCATATGATGTCCTCCCAGAACGAGAAAAACCACCTTGTGTCCGTCATATTACTATATGGCGGCAAGGAGGGGGTTAAAAGAAAACAGACATACTTTTTGTACAGTCAATACATGGTATGTAAGCAACTTTAGTGAGCCACAATTTCACAGGGAGAGATGAAATTTTATCTAGATATAAAAAAGAAAAAATTATAAAAAAAATATAAAAATTAGAGTATTTTTTCCAGAGACAATGCCAACAAATATTGTACATTTACTGAAGCATATGTAAGCAGGTAAAAAAGGATGCAATATAAAAGAGGGAGGACATGAGGCAGTTTTTATTTTGAAATAAAGATTAGAGAGTATTATTTCTAAGAGCCAATAGCCACAAATATTTTTACTGCCATAACACTGGAATATGACACACTCAAAGAGACACAGTGCATTATTTATCCTGCAGCAAATATTTAAACGTTTGTAGCTAAGACTCAGGAGCTGGTAAAAGTGGTAGGCTGGTAGAAGGTGTAGGTGCTAGTAAGGGTGGCAGGCCAGCAGGGGCAGCAGAATCTGGTAATGGTGGCAAACCAGCAGAGATCGCAGCAGACACGCAAAAGTGACAGGAGCTTGTAATAGTGACAATCCAGCAAAGGTGGCAGGGGTAACGGAGGCAAGCCAGAAGAGGTGGCAGAAGATTGTAATGTCAGCAGGCCAAATGCAGTGGCAGGAGCTCATAATGTTTTCACGTTCCTTTATATTTTGGGTTAGATGACAAAGAAAGATCAGTCTACAGGGGTTTTGTAAGCATTGCTGATCCAGCAACCTGCCACTATCTGGAAATGCAGCCAACTTGAAAGAAAGTCTTGAGAAGCCACTGTGCATCCTCCTCAGTGTGATTTGGCTAAATAGCATGCCCCATTCTAGAAAGAAAAAGCAGACATGTCCTGCCTCTCAAAGCCCCCACTTTGCTGCAGAATCTGCTTGGCCACTACTAACTGTGCATGAAAAACCTCTCCCTTTAGGCCTTACGGACATTATATACACAAGGAATTATGTGTATGTGTATACCACCTCAAAATTCCTCAAAAAGTCACACTTTCTCCCCAGAAAGTAATACAATGTTAAAACCTTTTTTGTGTTGAAATTACATAAACCTATTAATATTCAAATCCCATAATAATGAAAACTCAAAAAGAAAAACAAAAACAAAATTTGTAATAAAAATTCAGAAAAAAGTGTCCCAATAAAAATTGTCCCAAGAAACAATAATAATGTCCAAAAAATATGTCCCAATGTTCAAACTTTATCCTCCAGTAGGAAAAATCTCATTGCATCCCGTGGTACCTCAAAAAAAAACAAAATAAATAATCTAGTGCGTTACCTTTATAAATGATAAATATTCACTCCGTGCAAAACACAAACAACAAAACTGTGCAAAAACTGTATACATATATATCTCCTGTGCACGTATGGATAAACTGTGACCACTCTGTGAACACTGCAACACTGTGTATCCACCGACACCAATAGTATTAAATACTATTACCCTCTGTATCAATATACCAGCAGGGATCTTCTCATTCTCTCCAAAGAAATTTTCCAAGGTCCTCAAAAGACAAGAAGGGTCTCAAGGCTCATATTCAAGGTATAGGTAAAAGATTTTAATATCCACTTACATTAAAATTTCATATATCCAGCTCCCCACATGGTTCCTATGCAAGTTCTACCAAACAAATGCGGTAAGCCATGTGTTGATAACCCACAAAATGGCCGCGGCGACACTTCCGGTCTGCGTGTGTGCGTCACGACGTCACACCCTAAAGGGTGTGACGTCGTGATGCACACACGCAGACCGGAAGTGTCGCCGCGGCCATTTTGTGGGTTATCAACACATGGCTTACCGCATTTGTTTGGTAGAACTTGCATAGGAACCATGTGGGGAGCTGGATATATGAAATTTTAATGTAAGTGGATATTAAAATCTTTTACCTATACCTTGAATATGAGCCTTGAGACCCTTCTTGTCTTTTGAGGACCTTGGAAAATTTCTTTGGAGAGAATGAGAAGATCCCTGCTGGTATATTGATACAGAGGGTAATAGTATTTAATACTATTGGTGTCGGTGGATACACAGTGTTGCAGTGTTCACAGAGTGGTCACAGTTTATCCATACGTGCACAGGAGATATATATGTATACAGTTTTTGCACAGTTTTGTTGTTTGTGTTTTGCACGGAGTGAATATTTATCATTTATAAAGGTAACGCACTAGATTATTTATTTTGTTTTTTTTTGAGGTACCACAGGATGCAATGAGATTTTTCCTACTGGAGGATAAAGTTTGAACATTGGGACATATTTTTTGGACATTATTATTGTTTCTTGGGACAATTTTTATTGGGACACTTTTTTTCTGAATTTTTATTACAAATTTTGTTTTTTGTTTTCTTTTTGAGTTTTCATTATTATGGGATTTGAATATTAATAGGTTTATGTAATTTCAACACAAAAAGGTTTTAACATTATACACAAGGAATTGTCTAACTTTATTAGTAGCTATGGCAATAGGGCAATTAAGAATGTGGTGCTATGGTGCACTTAACATTGTAGTTATTTCATGCACTAATGTATTGCACAAAATATTTGGTGATGTACTGCAAACAAAGGGCAGCTTTGCCTGCCCCAGGAACAAAATGACACTGCTGACTGAGAATCAGAAAAGACCCTAGCAAAATTATATTATAACGAAATATACCTCCCATAAAAAAAATGAAACCTAAAACAGTAAGAAGCCAATTCCAACTCTATTCACACTCTTTAGCCCACCACACTGCAATTCAGTGTTGTGCAGCACAATACAGCACTTTTTATAGCACTCTATGTTGCATGATCTAGAGTCCACCACTCCTCTTTGCAAACTGTGCTGTACATTTTACACTCCATCCCACTCCACTCTGAATACTGCTGTATATTCTGTACTGCAAACTACTATATGTTCTGTACTTTATACCATTTGGCTCTGTACACTGTGCTATAAGTTGTATGCTGCACACCATTCCAGTCTCTGCACTGCATATTTTACACTACTTTGTTTTGAATGCTCAACGCCACCTTTTCCATTGTATTCGGAGTGTACACTATATTACTTACTGTTTGATACGTCAATCTGTACATTATATTGTATATTATTTTCCTCATGTGTATTATTATTATTCCCCATGTGTTACAAATTGCAAAAACACCCTACTCTGGACACTTTGAACAACATTGGTAGCTCCAAAATGCACCACTCTGTATTTTTTGCTGAATATTACTGTATTTGTTAAAAACACAATTATGTTATTACTCTATGTTAATTTTATATGTTGTATACATTCTACTGTACATAACACACCCTCCAATGTCTTTTGTCCCCAATCTGGCTCTCCAAATACCAGATTACATTAAATGTAATATGACAATATGATAAAACAATGTTCAGTCAGTGGGTTTTCCTTTCTTTATTAAAATTATAGTTTGGTCCAGTAGCTCTAACCATTATTCGGTAACTTTTTATGAAGCCTATAAATGAAACATTAGTAGAGCAAGACTGTTTGCCTACCAACAATTAAGCCCAGCAGTTCTCTAATAACTGCAGAGTAAATTAATATTTTGCATTCATCTCTCCATAAAGTCTGGTAGGTCATGTTATTAATTTTAATAGTCTGCACTTTATGCTTATTGTTAGATTGCTTGTTTTTGTTATGTGTGATTCAAGGGAAACTAGTGTGTGTTTTTTTTATAAATATTAATGCAATTTTCATTTTACTTTTTAAAATAGTTTACAGACCTTTAAACTGAAATTGTATGTAATTATATTCAATGCTTGTATACATTTTTTTAATGCAGTGTGCTTCTATGCGTAAATGTGTGTCGTGCATACTGGTCTCCCTAATAGGAAAGCCTAGTACTTGCTTGCACTTATGGACTACTCCTGCAGATTGAATATCTAGATGGGAATTTTGTCCACTAGTTGAGAAGGAGAGGGTTGTGTCAGCATCCCTGCTTTAAAGTGGAATTGCAAAAACAGCAGCAAAAGAGGTAAGATACTACACACTAAATTGAACAGGTGTATGGTCCTTTTAAGGTGATCCACCTTGAAGGAAGTCTTATCCCAGACAGTTTACTAAATCCAGCAGATACTACTGTTAAGCAATTATCTGTACTGTGAATGGAGGAGGTGCAGAGGAACATCACAATTTCCCCTTCTCCATTTACAGAATGCCCTGCAATCTATAAAAAAAAGAAGCACATTTTCTGAATTGAGAACGTGTAGCGTGAACAAGCCACTATTATCTGTGTATTTCAGCCAGAAGTCTCAGTGCCAGATGTTTAACTCTTACTGTACTGTACCAGCTTAATGAAGGTAGAGAATATGCATTTCCATTTTTTCATTTCGCAAAGAGGGTATCGAAAAAAATTGAGAAATTGCAGAGAAAGGCAAATAAACTTATAAGAGGCTTGGAGGAGCTCCGCTATGTGGAAAGATTAACAGAACTGAATTTATTCTCTCTTGAGAACAGATGATTAAAGGATAAATTCACTTTTTAGTAAAAAATAATAAATGCACCTCTTTTTTGCAGGTAAAAAAATGTGCATTTATTATTTTTGTCTGCAAGAGCCTGTAAAGCATTACACCAGTGATCAGCAGATTTATGTTGTCATGCAGGTCTCCTGCAGATCTTTTAGGATATCTGCTTGCTCGTACGGGATGTACGAGCAAGCAGAAATACTGACAGAAAGAATAAATTAATTAACCACGGTGCTGCACAGTGCCATGGTAGTTCATTGAGTACTACAAGCTGACAGCTGCTAAGGCTGCCGGGACTTGTAGTCTCTTATTCACAGAAAGCAGTGAATGAGTAATGTGGCCGGGCAGGCGGAGCCCTGC